TGGAGCCTGTGCTTAGATCAGGGTTCAGTTCCAGGCCGGCCTGCACCTACCGGGCGTGCCTCTGTGTGCCTGCGATCCTGGGCGTCTGGTCTGGGAATGCTATGGGGAGAGCAACGGTTTGAGTCCCTGTCCAGGGTGCTTGTCTTTCTCTCCCTCTCTCTGTCTCTCTGACTCATGAAAGAAATAAAACAATAACTTAAGGGACCAGGTAGTGCGATGGTGCTTATGCAACTAGGCCCACATGAGAGGGTCCCAGGTTTGCACCATGCAGTCTCCCTGTACACGCTGAGTGCACACACACACACACACACACACACACACACACATCCACGGGCCATGATCTGGGCTGGGAGAGGCTGGGGTACACCATGGTGTGATAACCCTACTGAGGGTACTCCTCTTTGTAACACTCTCTCTCACAGAAGAAATATGTAAACACCATGGTGTGATAACCCTACTGAGGGTACTCTTCTTTGTAACTCTCTCTCACAGAAGAAATATGTAAAGCTAAATATATAAATTGCTTAAAATATTTTAAAATGATGTAACTAGATTGAAAAGAATATGGTAATGTTTACTTAGAGGTGAAACACCAACTTCCAATCTATGTTTAGACTATTTCTAAGTAGTTCTGGTATTTTAGATATCTAAGACTTTTTTTTTAGGTATTTGGTAGACATATAAATAATTGATATTATTTCCTGTATCTGTATAAAAGCATTGCATATACAAAACTGCATCACAATATCTCAGTATCAAGTTGAGATACAGTGGGAGTATCAATTTTGTGTATCAATTTGATGAAAAAAAAATCAACTTGGTGTCACTGATATACAATTAGACAGTGGGCAAAAATGACATTTACAGGATTTCAAACGTCTTCACTTAAGATCGCTTTCCCTTCCCTCACTTCTCATTGGCCTCGACATGCCGAGGTGCAGGTAGGGCCCTCTGCTGTGTTTGGAGGTGGGAGGTCTAGCTGACCTTACAGATTTTCTCTCTCGTGCCCCCTTAACAATAATGACAGCTTCTTAGTTTTACTTCCTGGGGAGGGAAGGCAGAGAAAGAAGTAACTTGGTGAAATTGCATATCACTATGAGAGGCTAAAGTTTGATGGGATCCTCAGAAGAAGGTAAATGGGAAAATAGGGGCCAGCAGATAGAGTAGTGGTTACCTGACTAGACTCCCATATGGCTGACCACAGTTCAAGTCCTGGATCCGATGCCTTGAAACTCATGCTGGGTACGTGTGTGTACGCCCAAGACCCGTGAAGGATTGTGGTGTGGCCATACCCCCTGGGGGGTGATTTCTCACTTTCCCTCTCACTGTTTCACTCTTTTTCCCCCACCCCCACCCCCAGAGCACATGTCCTAAGGCAAAACCTCTCCAAAAAAAAAAAAAGAATGAATGAAAGAAAGAAAGAAAGAAAGAGGAATGGGAAAATAAATGTTTCTTTTAATGAGATCAGTGTACATAGAGAGGTGAGTCTTTGAGCAGTTACCTGAAGTTTGTGTGTGTGTGTGTTTTTTTTTTGTCACATCTCATTTTAGGTTCCCTTTCTGCTGTCCCCTAACCCTGTTTCCCACTTTTAAAATAATCCTGAGGCCTATTTTTTTCTTTTGTATGCTAGAGGGTATGTGTGTGCTTGAGAGAGACAGAGAGACAGAGAGACAGAGAGATACAGAGAGAGTGGGAGAAAGAGTCCCCTAACTGGAGTGGTCATGTTGTAATCTTTTTTTCCTCCAATTCCCCATCTCATGGGCACACACACACACACCTGGGGTGCTTTTAAGCAGGTGGGGTCAGGACTTGAACCCTGGTTGGCCACATGGGTTCTAGTTTTCTCTGCTCATAACTTAGCTACTGTGCTACAGAGCTATCCCTGAAGCTCATCCTTTAGAAAAAGTGAAAATTTGGTGAAAATTTAGAGGATTGAAAATATTTTTATTTCAGTGAGTTTTAAACAGATTGAAAATATTTTTATTTCAGTGAGTTTTAAACAATCTACGAGAATATCCAGGTGATAATTACGTTAACAATTTCATAGTTATTCTCATAAAACTAAGCTCCAAATTTTAGCTAGAAGGAAACAGGCTGAGTAAAGATGAGACGAATGCATTTTTTGGACTGCTGAATGACCATAAGCTTCTACTGTGTTCAAGCACACAAACATAAGAGCCAGCACAGGCTGATGAAAGCCAGCCAAGAGGAAGCGCAGAGTGTGGGCTGGCCAGGGACCAGCTCTCCGGACGCCCCACCTCTTCACTCTCACGTGACTTAACCGTGGCCACTGAGACAGCAGAGGTCTGCAGGAGCGTCTAGGAAGGCTTTGGCTTTCCTGATGGTGGGGGGCACACCCTGTCCTCCCTCTCCTCCTGCACGGAGCAGGGACAGCCTTGATCTGGTTGGGAGTTGTTAGGGATGAAAACCTGGGTTAAGCAGACACAGATCACAGAAGCAGCCTGGAGCACAAAGAAATGTTAAGGAGGGGCTACATGACCATCTATATTGTGCACGCTGCAAAACAAGTCCTGTGGCATGAGACCTACACAAAACAGGATGAGGAACAAGCTAAAAAATAAATTAACAGGTCCAAGGAGGTCTAAGGGCGTATGTCAGATAAACAAAGGATCTAAGTCAGGAAGGAGACAGGGCTCCTTGCCTCCCTGGGCAATGGCCCGTTGTGTCTGTGGGACATATCCTCTGTAATCTCCCTCATTAAACCCGTGTTCAGCTTGATTTCTTGTCCTTCAGTTCTTTACTGTGTCAGGCAGTCAGGGCCCACCTGTTTCTCGACCTAAAAATCTGACTATGGGACAAGGCTGCAGAGAACTGCAGAGGTAGCTGCCCTAAGGTGACATGGTGAGCCAAGGCCAGAATGGCACCCTGCGGAAAATCGTCCTCTGTTCATTCAAGCGTGTGTACTTGGGGTTCTGCTGCTTCCAGCCTGCAACCCCCTCACTGAGACCCTCGGGTCCAGGCTACTCTGGCCTTCCGGTTTCTGCTGTCAGCCCCTGCCCTTGCTCCATGTACGGACTCACGTGCTGCTCTCTCTCACGGCTTGTCGGCTAGTCTAGGCCCCTTCTGCCTGCCTCACTTCAGTGCTGTCCTGTAACGGCTCAGGACGCTTATTGGAGCTCATGACCTTGCAGCTTGGAGTCAGGGTTCTGAGCCTGGGATGGCGACACAGCACGTTTGTCCCCGGCTTCCCTCTCACAGGGAGAGGCTGGGCTGAACCCACCTCTTTTAAATGTTAAGCAATATTAGGACTCTTCAAGGAAAAATTCAGTGTGTGAAAAAGAACATGTCCCTGGTACCAGCAGTTAGCATAATGGCTATGTCGGGGGGGGCCCCCCCCCCATAAAAAAAAAAAAAAAAAAAAAAAACAGAGAGAAATAAAAAAGAACATGTACCCACACCCCCTTTTTCCCCTGTCTCCTTTTTATACTCAAAAATATTTTTAGCATCTCGTTGGCAAATCAGGAAAATGCTGATGAGAATAAAATTTATTTGTACTATTATTAACCATCTGTATTTCCCTGCACTTTTAAAATACAATGTTCATTAAGATTTTAGAATAAATTACTTTAAAACTAGCAATTCTGTCTAAGGGGACAGGGACTTATAGATTGTAAATTTGCAGCAATTTTCAAGGAGAAATGTAATAACAAACTTTAGTTTGCTGGGTCCATGGTATTTACATTTTTTTCTTTTTCTTTTTTTGGAGAGGTTTTTGCTATAGGACACGTGCACTCACCAGAAGACAGAGAGAGACAGAGAGACAGAAAGTGAGAAATCACCCCCCAGGGGAAAAGGCCACGCCACAATCTCTTCTCCTCCATTCTCCTCTTGGGATCTTGGGCACACATGCACACGTGCCTGGCATGAGTTTAAGCTACCAGGCCTAGGACTCAAACCGCAGTCAACTACATGGGAGTCCAGCAACATAGCCATTATGCCAACTGCTGGTCACACTTTTTTTCTTATATTGTTTCTACATGGGAGTCCAGCAACATAGCCATTATGTCAACTGCTGGTCCCTTATACTTTTTTTCTTACATTGTTTCGGCTTTGTTTTCATTGTAACCACCATCAGAGAAGGATTTGAACAAATTAATAGATAAGATGATGGTTCTGAGGCACAACCATGTTTCACATAGGGGCTGGTGGGGTTGGAGTGAGGTCCTCAGAAGCTAGTCTAAGAGCTGCCAAAAGAAAGGGGTGGCGACTTCAGTCTTTCTGCTGACTCTGTGGGCTACGTCCACTGATAGGATTACATGCTTCAGCTTGTTCATCAATGAGTTGCACCGAAGGAAAAACACTGTGAGAAAGTGAGATTCTGGGGCTGGACAGCAGCCCAGTGGTAATGTGATGCTCTGACCCATATGGGAAGGTTCCTGGCTTGCATCCAGAGACCTCCCTGAGTATGTGGCATGCACATGTGCTGTGATCTGCGCTGGCTGAGCCAGGAGTGGACACTGGCACCGAGATCCTGCTGGTGTGTACTCTCTCTTTCTCTCTGTCTCTTTCTATGTCTCTCTCATTCATGGAAGAAATAAATAATAAATAAGATGAAAGGAAGTGAAAGAGAGAAAGAGCGAAGAAGGAAGAAATGAAGGAAGGAAGGAAAGGAAATTGATTTTAAGACAGTGGTAAACATAGCCGAAAAGTGCTGGTAGAACCAGTGGTGTTACACCACGTGGGAGGCCTTGCCCCTCTGCCTCTATGTCCAAGCACAGAATTACATATGGATTTAAGAACTAATTTGTATTCATGATAATTTGCTAAGTTAATGTTACTTTGGTTTTGCTATACATGTTCCGGCAAATTGTAACATATATTTTTTCATATTAGTATATGAAGTACTTAGTGTTAAACATTATTTCATGTCCCACGCTTGTTAATTCCCTATGAATAACTCTCTTTTTTCAACTGCTGCTTGGGAAAAAAATGTTATTTTGTTTGAGAATCCTCTCCCTCTTCCGACCCTGTCGCCCCAGGATGTAAACAACTTCAATGAGAAGTGCACAAGGGAAGTACTTTGTGCTTTGTCTGGAAAGCCACAGGCATCTCTGAATGCAACTGACCCTCTTGCAGGGTGAAAAAGTAAGTCTAATTTTTTGTTACTTGCCTAATTTTTTTTTCCAGCTTATTCTTTTCCTATCACTTCCCCTCCTCTCAAAAATACTAAAAATTACACTGAAGACTTAATCTTAGCTTTATCTCCAAACTTACCTAGGAACTATACATCAATACAAGACTAATTGCACATAAAATTTAATTTCTATTGCACTGCCACATAAAAATGCAAAATGCTTCAGTGGTGTAATGTCTAGCGCTGAGCTCAAGCCAATAAGGCTGCCCCAAGATGGCTCGTACAGATGCAATTATGTCTCACATACTCAAACTGTTTTCTTTCACAACATTACTTTTATTATGCAAATGTGTAAATCTAATTTTAATCTGAAAGACCATTTAGAAGATTAAAATTGTGCTCATGTCTTACTTTCACTAAGTGTAATTAAATATATTAATTTTTTTTCCCCATTGGAAGAACGATTTCAGTGTCCAGCAAGAGCCCTTCATTGTTTCATGCCTGTGGGTCAAGAAACCACCATAGGCAGCAAAGAGCTGCCATGTTGACTAGTATTCCTCTTCCTCCCTGGTGGTTCCGGGTAAGTGGATGTGACAGGGAAACAAGTGGAAGGGAGCAGAGGGCATATTTCAGTAAGAGCAGCAGAAGTTCTCTGTTTGGTAGCAAAAAAACAAAAACAAAAACAAAAAACAAACAAACAAAAAACCCAAAAACAACCCCAGCAGAGTGTGAAGTGGTTCCAAATCTTCATCTGAAAAAAGACTGAAGATCTAGAAAGGTAACCAGGACACAGATCACATGGTGTTTCAAGACATATGGTCACTAGCATGGGAATTTTTGGCAAGCTTGTAAAGCAAACCTTTACAAAAATTTTCATTAGAAAAACAAAAAAGGAATAAATTCTGGATGCTCAGAGCAGCTAAGAGACAAGAGGAAAACGAACTTGCTGATTGTTTTCCTCCTTACTTTCAACTATTTACTGCTCTACGTTCAGGGTAATGGTAGTTAATCAGAATGGTTTCTAATTTTTTTCAATAGGTCGAGAGATGTTTGTTAGACTATAAACTTTTTACACGATAAAATCTATAGTCACATCATGCATTTGTACAACAATAGCTAACATTTACAGAGTTCTTAGCAGGTATCACTGCGTTAAACTCTTAGTACAGGCAAATTCATTTCAACTTCACAACGATCCTGAAGTATTACTTTTACCATTTTCTAAATGAGAAAACTGAACCTGTGCGAGGAGTCTACCCGAAGGCATAGTTAGTGTGTGGCAGAAGTAGCCTTTGAATTGAATGTTGGGGTTTGAAGTCTAGAGCTACAGGTTCAGTATGGGAGCCAGCAGCCATGGGTGGCTATTCCAGTGTATGTTGAAGTGAGGTGTAAGTGTAAACGACATACTAGATTGTGAACACAGTGCAAAAAACAGGAGTAACGTATTCCAATAATTTTATATTGAATACACATGGAAATGACAACATTATGCATACATTAGATTATATAAAACATATGATTAAGTTTCACTTCTTTTTTTAATTGCCAGAGGGCATGTGTGCTGAGAGAGATCATGCATGCTCTGATAGGGCCCGGTCATGCAGCAATCCCCTCTCCATTTCTCCATCCTGTCAGACGTGGGCATGCACAGACACGCACCCAGCATACTGTGGCCGGTGCTGGAATTTGAAATCGGCACATTGCGTAACCACTGAGCTACAGAGTTGGCTCTAGAATATCTTTCAGATATCATGAATATTACTCCTAACTATAGGAGAGTAAGAAGATGACAGATCGTTTTTATAATTATTTTTTTTTATGTTTTTGTCATAGAGCACACTCACTGGAGAGAGAAAGAGAGGGGAAGTGAGAAATCCCCTCCGATGGGGATGACCATTCTGCAATTCTTTCTCCTCCATTCTCCATCTGGGATTTTGGGCACACATGCACAAGTGCCCAATGTGATTTTCAAGCTGCCAGATCTGGGACTTGACCTGTGGTCAGTCATGTGGGAGTCCACTTCCTTAACTACCACACAGCCTGCTGGACCCTTGAAATATAATTTTATTTTTTCCATGAAAGAAAGAGGCAGGGAGAGGAAGAGAGGGAGAAGGAAAAAGAGAGAGAAGGCACTTCTAACAGGGCCCTCGGTTCTCAGCTGGCCTGGAGCATGGGTGTGTGCCTGCCTGCCCAGTGCATGCATGGAGACCTCTGGGTGTGGACGCAGGGCCTTCCCACATGGGCCCGCATCACACGGCATCACGTTACCACTGTGCCACCACTGCTAGCTCTGGATAGCTTTCCGAAACTGCATTACAAACCCTGTATGTGTCCAAACCACACATCAGCTATTTTTCTGCAATTTCAACACATCTCTTATGTAAAATGTTAGAGTATGCCAGCGTTTTTCGATCCGAAGGCCATGTAATTTTGTTGTCAAACACCTCAGTGCATGCGTGTGCTGTCTGCGCTGGAGCTACCCGTTATCTTCCCAGTGACTTAATCCAACTGCACTGTTCTGCAGATTAGCCAAAAAAGGGTAAGAAAGATGGAAGAGAAACTGAAAACATGGCGTTGGTTACGAATGCAGCTCCCCTTGCACATGTGCTTTCAGATCCAGTCCACGTAAGGTGGACAGAACAAGGCATCTGGATGTTCACGTCTAGCTGGCTAATTTAATAGTTGTTTTGACTTCCTATTAAAGGGTAATCTAATATTTGATAATAAACAGAGCACTTGAATTTTTCATTTTTCTTTGAACTACAGGAAGAAAGTCCAACTACGAAAAACCTCATTATGAAAGGTCTCATTATGATCTTGAGTTCTGTAGAAATTAACCTCT